CCGCAGTGCAGCCTCCACGCTGTCCCCGTCGGGGCTGAGGGTGCCTGGGCTGGTGCCAGGTGGGGCAAGACCTCATCCCGGTTGGGCGGAGCGAGGCCCTGGCCTGTCTCTTAGACAAGGAGTGGCCACTCCCTCTGGCTAAGCCGTGGATGAGCGTGTCTCGGAGGGCAGCTGGACCCTGATAAGGAAGCTGATTGGCTTTAGGGACCAGTAACTGGGCTGGCATCTCTGACAGCTGTGGCCACGCCTGGGCAGAGCAGGGTGGGCCAGGCCAGGGCAGCCAAGAGCCCATGGCCCGTCGGGAGCAGAGTGGGAAGCCCCTCCAGCCAGGCTCCACCTCTGCTGGCCTCAGGGGAAGGGAGGGCAGGAATCTCCACGGTGTGCAGGGGAAAGTCTGGAGTTGGAGGGCTCAGCGCCTGGCCCAACATGGGGACGCTGGCCAGCAGGGGCATCCCAGCCTCACCCTGGCCCCTGGGCAAGTCCCACCACCCCCAAACGCCAGCATCCTACCGAGGCGGGTAGCCCCAGACAGCCTGTGCCCAGCCCCCCTCACTGCCCGCATCCAGCCAGCTGAGGGGACCCAGGGTTCATAGGACTCTTCCCCAGACAGACTACCCAGCACCACGACAGAGTGGCAGGCTTTCACAGCGGGGCATCCCTAACCTGGTGACATTCCCGGGGGCCAGGCCCTTCTCAAGCCCGGGTCCTGCTTTACGGCAGGAAACAGGCACGCTTCTCGCTACACCTGCGTTAGACCCCACAGGCACACAGGAGTGACAGCCGTGAGCAGGGCCACGCCATCCCCTCCGCGGTGGGCTCTCAGAGCCGGGGTGCCAGACAGCACCTGCTCTCCCACCTGACTGGCTCAGGGTGGCAAGCTCACTCCAAGTCCCTGTGTCTTAGAGGCTGCTTCCTCCCTGGGGGAAAAGAAGGGGTTTTCTGGATGATCCTCTGAGTATGAAAGTGAGTCAGGAACCCATTCTTGACTGAGCAGAGAGATCTGTCAGAAACTAGGAATTTCGTGCTCTGAGTCAGTCCCTGTGCGTGGGCAATGGGGGGAAGGAGCCTTCCCCACGGCTGCCAGCCTCCGGGGCACGGGCTTGGCACCTGCCTCTGTGGCACAAGGTGTCCACCGGGCACCGAGAGTGACTGGACCCAGAGTGCCAACCTCAGCAGGCGGCACCACGCTCCTCTCATGGGACAGCCTCCGCTAACTCCAGCCGGGAGGGGTCCCCACACTCCATGTGGGCAGGAACCAGAGCCTCAGACCCTCTTTCTCCACAGCAGCGCTGCACTCCCTAGCAATGGCCTCTGGTCCCGAGAAGGAGATGTGTAATTGGAAGGCCCGCCCCCACTGCCCCCAGGGCCACCTGGGTCCTGCCCACGGTGTGCACGGAGACCCCATTCTCCAGCCCAGCACTGCAGGCCCGGCGTGGCTGGCCATGTGGCTACTTTCCTCTGCTCTCCAAGACCGGACCTTCTTCTTCCAAAGCCTTCTCCACCCACAGCGTCTTTGCCCGCCGGAGCCCCCGCTCCCAGTGGGTGGCAGTGCGGTCTGCCCTCCTTTCCCCCTTCCCTGCTTGCCCAGCTCCAAGCCCGGGCCAGGCCACGTCTCCCGCCCAGCCTCGGGTCCTTTCAGACCTGTGAGCACCTGGGGGCCAGGGCCGCTGCTCCGGGGCCTCCCTGGACCTTCTCTGGGCCATGCGCCCACAGGGCTGGAGGTGCGGCCGCCCTGGGGCAGCTGGGCCTGCTGGTCACCGGGACTACAGGCCAGAGCAGAGTGCGGAGTGGGGTGGCGCCCTTCAGAAGAACCAGGAAGCAGGCTGGGGGACATCAGGGTTGGAACCCCTCACAGCCAAGAGAAGCCATCACCCATGGGCGACATGCAGGACACTTCCGGGGGCCGCAGAGAAGCCAGGCAGCCCCTGTGAGGACTGCGGGCCCTCCTGCTGCTCCCTCCTGCTCCAGCCCCGCCTTTCCAGGACCCACCAGCCCTCCCGCTCCTCTGGACGCCTCCCTGGGTCTAACAGGCTGCCTAGGCCAGGCCTCACACCAGCCCGCTGCTGGCCAGTCACATGACCTCCCTGGGCCTCACCTGCTCTCGGGACAAGGTCTTGGGCCTGAGGTGGGGTGCGGTGGGGACGCATGTGTAAGGGGTTAACGTGGTGGCTGGCATGGGGTGCTGGGGCCACCTGGCCGGGCCTGTGGCTACTGCTGCTTCGGGGCTCTAACTCTTAGGCCAGCCAGCCCCAGGCCCCAGGACTGGGCTAACAGACCCTTGCTGAGCAGGACCCCCGCTGGGCGAGCAGCCTTAAGGACCCCACTGGCACTTCCTGAAAGAAAAACCACTCGCTAGCCATAAGCAAGTCGACCATGTAACTTCTAGAGACAAGCTCCCCGGGTGGGGACAGCGCCAGGCCCCTCCCAACACAGCTGGACAGGCCCCTGCCCTGTTCAGCCAGACTTGTAGGTCGAGCTCAGGCGCTGGCACCCTGGTACCCAGGCCCCTTGACCTCCCAGGCTGCCAGGCAGGGAGTGCACCCCCTTCCGCTCCCTAAACTGACTGGCAGGGGTGGGAGGCTGTCAGGCGTGGGCAGACGGCCCAGCCATTCCTGGCATCTCCACACTCTGCCCCGGGCTGGAGCTAGCGAGCTCAGAGCCTCACCAGAGCGCTGCCCCCGGCCCCTCCTGCTCAGGTGTGGAGACCAGCAAGCTTTGGAACCAGGCTCTGGGCAGCCTCGGGGACCAAGCCACCTTCCCAAAGGCTCTCAGAGGTAGGAGGGTGCCCACCACCACGGGGCCCCTGTGCCCATCCAGGCCCCGCCTGGCGCCTGGCCCTCCTGGCTCTGTCCTGCACCGCTGGGCTCGGACATCTTTGGGCCTGCGGCTGGTCCGACCTGTGCACCAGCTGCCGCTAGGCTGCCCTGCCACGTGCTCGGGCTGGGCCTCGCCAAGGCTGCAGGGGCCCTGCAAACTTCCCAGCTCTTTCTCTTTCCGTCCCAGCACCAAGGCGCTTCCACCAGGCTCTTGCTCCCTGGCCCAAGCGCAGAGCCCGCCCTGTGGGAAGCGCCCCACCCCAGAGGCCAGACTTGGGCGGGGGCGACAGGGAGCCACCGGCCCCAGAAGTCCGTCCCACAGCACTCACCGATCTGCGCCAGGCTCAGCTGGACCAGGCAGAGTCCCCAGGCTGCGTGCCACCACCGCGTGTCCATAGTATCAGTATGGAGCGGTCCCAGCGAGCGAGCGGGGCGGTCCGGGCACGAGGGGGCTTGGGGCAAGAAGGAGAGACCTGTCAGGGGCCGGGCGCGGCGCAGTGGGGCCGCCTCGGAAGTTGGCCGCGCTTTTTATTTGAGGGCTGAGAGAATGACCTAAGAGGGAGGGGGGAGGGAGCGAGCGCAAGACACACCCCTGCAAGGGTGACGGAGCCGCACCGCCCTCCGCGAGGCCGCGCCGCGGCTGCTGGCGCGCCTGCCCGGGATCCCTGCGTCCAGCGCCTCTGCCCGCCGGCTCTCCCTGCGCAGGGGCGCTCCTCGGTCCTCAGACCGCGCCCAGGACTCTGCCTGGGGCTCCCCTTCCCGACGAAACTCTCGGAACCAGCTGCGGAGTGGTTCTGGGCAACCTGGGAGAGGCTGGGACAGGGCGGGGCTGGTGTGCGGCTTCACTGCTGTGCTGGGGAGGGGAGCAGTGACTCACCCAGGGCAGGCAGGGAGCCCCCCCGGCCCCACAGCGAGCTGGGCCTGTTCACTGGCTGCCCCAGCTCCCAGGGCCGCTCTGTCCTCCCCACCTGCACACTCCCTCCTGGGAGGGTGCCGGTCTCCTCTACTGGCCATCCTCCCCTCTGCATGTCCTTCAGGGCCTCCAGCACCATCCTCCTCCCCACCCGCTGCCCCGCCCCCACTTGCTCCCCCCTCCAGCAGCCATCATCCCTCCAGACCTTCTTATCCAAGTCTCTCACATCCCACCATCCTGCCAGCAGCCCCCGCCCTGCTCCATCCCCGCCCCGCCCCTGCCCCAGGTCCTGTGGCCTTTCCATGAAGACAGTAATCTGCTCCCTCTGTCTCCTGCCCACACTTCAAAGAGGGATGGCGATCATAATATTCTTTTTTTAAATATTTTGCTATAGAGCACGCGTCACTGGAGAGAGAGACAGAAATCAGCCCCCAGGGGGCATGGTCACACCACAATCCCTTCTCCTCCACTCTCCCCTCCCGATCTTAGATCTTAGGTATGCACGCATATGCGCCCAGCACTAGTTTTAAGTCTCCAGGTCTGGGACTTGAACCATAGTTGACTACATGGGAGTCCAGTGACGTAACCATTATGCCATCTGCTGGTCCCTGACAGATCATAATGTTCTTCAGGGGAGGTATCTGGGTTTGAGGAATTAAACTTGGAATAATATTTCAGTATCTACTCAATACCCATAATATTCTACGACACACCATTTGATAACTAAAAGCAGTATTTATGTATCTTTTAAATATGGAAGTTTTTGCTACAGAGCATGTGCGCTTGCCAGGGAGAGAGAGGAAAGGAAGTGAGAACCCTCCCAGGGTGGCCGCACCACAGTCCCGCCTCCTTCACCTTCCTCCTGGGATTCTGGTGAGCACACGCCCATGCCCTGTGTGACAGTCAAGCTGCCAGGTCTGGGGCCCAAAGCAGTCAGCCATGGAGGAGCCCGCACCTCGGCCACATGCTGAGCGGTATTCACTTCTTACTTCAATATTTGTGCTTTATTTTAGCTTCTTTTACACATTCGATCACTGCTGAGAGTGAACCTGAGTGGGCCTCGTTCCTGAAGAGCAGCTGCAGCAGGACCCTGCGAGGCCCGTGCGGAGTTCTGCTGGGGAGATTCTGCTGTCTGTGTGCTCTTCATCTACGATAGAGCACACGCATGCACACATGTGTGGGTCCGGCCATGCCACAGAACCCTTCCCCGGTCCCCGGGTCTTGGGCACTCAGAGCACACACCCAGTGTTCTGGGGCTGGCCAGGGAGGGCCCTGGGCCGCCACAGGCTGGCCTCAGCAGCAGCCGTGGCTGCCCCATCTTGCTATCGGCTGGGAGACATGGGGAATGGAGTGGAGGCACCCCGACCGCTCCGCAGCGGAGGGTGCCCATGGCCCCGTAGCAGCCGGCTCTGGAGGGGACTCGGCCCCCAGACTCCCCCAGCAGAGTGCGCTCCAGAAGGTTGTGGCCGGGCTCGGCCCAGAGGTGACTCCAGGGAGCCTCCCCGGGGGTGGCGGTAGTCCAGCCAGGCCCTCCAGGAGGAGGAGCACTTCTTCACAAGTCACCCCAGTCTGCTGTGCAGGCACAGAGCCGAGGTGCAGGCACCGCCCTGGGGTGCAGGTGCACAACCCCAGACCAGGCCCTTAGCCTGTGCACCTTCGTTTCCTGTTTAAGGGACTGGTGAGGAGTAAATGCCTTGGAAGTCCTGCAGAAAATTTTAGGTCCTAGATAGGGGTGTGTGTGTGCATGTATGTGTGAATGTGCATGTGTGTACATGTGCCTATGTGTATGTGCGTGTGTGTGTACATATTACATGCTATAAATGTGCTCGGTGTTAATTCTTGAAAGCAAAATCATGGGCAAGTGTAGAAAAGCCAGATGTGGAGAGCGCTGAGCCCAGGTCGACGGGCTAGGGCGTCAGCAAGACCTACAGACGGCCGGGGAGCCGTCCTGGGTGCTGGGGTGGCCACAGCGTGTCAGTTTTTAAAGCTGTTGTTACTATTGGTGTGCTAAAACACACATGGTACACACGTTACCATGTCACCATCTGGAAGAGCACAGTTAGTGGCGTTCAGTACGTTCACCACTGTACCGGCTCCCCCATCATGTCTGTGGACTATCTCATCCAGTGGACTGCCTCACCCGGTAGACTGCCTCGCCTCGTGGACTGTCTCACCCAGTGGACTGCCTCGCCTGGTGGACTGTCTCACCCGGTAGACTGTCACACCCAGTGGACTGTCTTATCCGGTGGACTGTCACATCCGTGGACTGTCACACCCGGTGGACTGTCTTGCCTGGTAGGCTGTCTCGCCTGGTGGACTACCTTGCCCTGTGGACTATCTCGTCTGTGAACTGTCTCACCGGTGAACTGTCACGCCAGGTGGACTGTCTCACCAATGAACTGTCGTGTCCAGGAGAAGGTCCCTTGTGGGAGACCTGCTCCTGTCTCTCAGGCAGTAATGGGGCCGGGAGACCCCTGTCTGTCCAACCCCCCAGCCCTCAGCAGCTGGCATCCCACGTCACCAGGCCACCCGTCTAAGACAAAGACAGTGCCTTGATCCCAGGCAGGAGCTCAGGCAGGCTCTCGGAGAATGCCCCGGGAGCAGACTCGGCCCTCTGCTTGTCAGTGCCCGAGAGGATGCCGCTCTGGAACGACCGGGAAGAGGCTCTCGGGTAGGGCCTCAGCCCCGAGCACGTCAGAAATCGGCCTGGTGGGTTGCGGACAAGAACACTGGACAAGGACTGACCTCGACACCACCTGTTCAAGGCGAGGGCAGTGCCGCGAGGTGGTCGGTCCCTGGGAATGGCGCCGTCTTCCTGCACCTCCTGTTCGACAGCCCAGGAACAGCGACAGCCTGGCCGGCGGCAGTTCCTGCAAGGCGCCGGGTGGCGAAAGTCCTCTCCCGGCCAGAGCCAGCGCTGGGAACACTCGACGCAGGAGGGCCCAGCGGTGGGTCCTCTCACGTGGCCAGGAGGAGTGGAGCAGCCATGAGCACATGCTGTCAGCCACAGCGCCTGCAAGGACAGGACCGCTCCTGGGGACAGCCTGCACGCTGAACCCAACTCGGAGGGCACGCCTGGCCCTGAGGGGCGGGGTGACAGGGACGCAGCCCTCCTGCAGGTGCACACAGAGACCCTGCTCAGGACCCCTGGCCAGCCAGTCCCTCGGTTCACTGTTCATGCCGGAGCAGTGCAGATGGGCTGGAGCGCGGTCAACCTGGCCTTGGGGAGTTCTGGGCCACATCCAGAGACCGTCCTGAACACGCCAGGCACACGTGTGCCCATGATCCGGGCAGGCTGAGGCCAGGGTGGGTCATGGTGGGAGGGGGAGCACCCACCCCTCGGTCTCTCTCTCCCTGTCTTTTTTTGCTCATGGAAAAAAACCCAAAAACCCTTTTAATAAAGGAGAGAATGAGGGTGCTGTCTCCACGGGCACGCCTTGCCGCCTTTCTCCCTCACCGCCTGCTGGGTGGCATCACCGAGACCCAGTTCCTCGCACCCGCAGGCCCCGCACAAGCCCTGCAGCGGCTGAGAAGCCCAGCCAGATCCTGAGCAAGCCCACGGGTGCCATGACAGACTCCGCCAGGTCCGCCTCCAAGTCCCGTGTCCACAGGCGAGCTCCGGCTCACGGATGCCTTTTCCCGCTCCCCACCAGCACTGCTTCCTCAGCTCGTGGGGCCGGCCAGCAGCTGCACTGCGCCCCACTCTTATTTTAAGTAATTAATTTATTTCTGAAACTCTTTTATAAAATTAATTTACATTCATTCCCTAAGCATTGTCTCAACATACAGCATGTGGTTTCCCATCCGGAGTAGACTGCGTACTGCTTACTCATGCTATCGCCATGGACCTTCCATTCTAGCTACACGGCAGTGTACATATATATTACCCCTATGTCTGACCCTCTGCCCTTCCCCATCTCCCCCACACTGTCTCTGGTGTCTAGTTGTCTTCCATTCCTTTCCCCCCACATTTTACTGATCACACAATTTTTTAAATAACCTAAGTACTTTCAATAGCAAATTCCGCTGGTAATTTCAAGAAAAGCAGTTTTAACTCTCAGAAATCGAAGAAATGCTAAGGAACTTTGTTTAAAACGTAAAGCCAGGAAACAGGTTAGAATTCTGTTCACATAGGTGCATGGACCTAGCGACAGCTCGAGACAGGAGGAAAATCCTTAAAACCGGAACTTACTGCAGCCCTACCGGCTAAGCAGCCTGTCCTCTCCAGACTCCGGAGCGCAGGGTGGAGAGGGACAGGAGCGGCTGGGACCACCCCTGCGGGAGGCCAGGAGCTCTGCTCAGAGGAAGACCCTGCTGGCTCTTCCCAGGATGAGTTCCTGCCTCTGAGCCTGGCGGCCGAGGCGGAAGGAGGCGCAGGAGTCCACCTCCCGGAAAGCAAAGTAGCTGCGGCCCTTCCCAGATCCCACACCCTCTCTGCTTCTGCCCAGCTCCCAGGCGTGGTCTCTGCACTTCAGCATGCCCAGTCACGTGGCCACTCATGCCCGCTGTGCTCTGGCAAGGCGAGAGCGTGGGGAGTGAGCGTAGTGTGGGCAGGAGTGGAGGCTCAGGATACAGGCAGGACGGTGCAGCGATGCCCTGGACCACAGGCAGGTGCC